GTGTGTGTTTGTGTGTGTGTTCCTTTTGCCGTCCAAACACATTGAGACAACCCTCAAACCACTTCCTCAGTGCAGTCCAGCAGTGAATGTTGCACTGCCATTGGTCGAACCAACTGTCAGTCACAAGGTTCAAGTTTCATACAGATTTAGAAAGTGCATAAGCAGCGCTCTGAAAAGCAGGCTTTTATGGTAATGAAACTACTGAGCGAGACTACTTTGTTTAAAAGGCATAAATGTGCATAAGATATGGACATAAACACAAATTTGACTGCACAGTCAAACAGGCATGTATTCCCATGTTTTATGAACTCATACTGAACTGACAAGTCATGACACCAGTTATGTGACAGTGTATTTGCTTTACAGCTTGCAGCCCAGGTCCTGGACGAGTTTGATGATGAGGATATCGGAGTCGGCCTCATAGATGCAAAGCATGATAAGGTCGTTGCAAAGAAATTAGGTAAACACTCAACAGAATAAACACAGCTGCAGACACTTGTCATTATGCAAATAAGACCAGGCAGTATTCTCATCTAGAATCTCAGCCATTTGTCATTCAAACTAGTCAAATATAATGGATTATTATTATAGCTCAGTGGGTAGAGCTGGTGNNAGGCTGAATCCTTGCTGCAGTGGCCCAGGGTTCAAATCCGACCTGTGGTCCTTTGCTGCGTGTCATCCCCTCTCTCCACCCCCCTTTCCTATCTGTCTCCAGCTATCCTATCAAATAAAGGCATAAAAGCTGAAAAATTTATACAAAAAAAAAATGTTGCTACCAGTGGGATATGGCCTCCTTTCATTCACAACAATGATTAAAACAGTTAGTGTTGTGAACGAACTAAATCACTTCCAGAAACAATCTTAGTTCACTTGAGCTCTCAGTCAGTTGAGATCAAATGTGCAGGAATACATTGACTCACTTACTCACTTATATCTTTTCACTTTAAGGAATGTGTTTCGTTCACTGGACGTACTGCACACCCCTCTTCCACCAAATTAGTTCTGGTTTTTGAACCGGTTCCATTTGAGCTTCTTGGAACTGTGGTGCTATTTAGTTTAGTTTTAGTTAGTTTAGTTTCTACCAGTTATCAGAGGAACCATTGTAATTAAGGAAATGTCATCAACAGAGGGTGTTGCACATTGAACAACGACCTGCTATTTTCTGGTTCCAGCAGATAACCACGTTTTTGCAAAACACTCCGAACGGTTCAAAACTAGGTGCCCGAACCGGAACAGAGCAGGTTCCTTGTTGGTGGAAAAGGCACTAGCAGCTGCAAACAAGAGCCCTGAGTGATACACAGTGGTTGAGTCATTCAAATCCGCCTCTTTCCCTTCGTCTCAATTATTTGTCGCAAAAATGTACAAAATAAGGTAGGACTTTGAGCTCTCAGTTTGCAAATGGTATATTGGTTATCCAACTAAATTCTCAGCTTACTGGATTATCCTTCATAAACAGCACTGAATGATTTGGTGAACAAATCTTTTAAACAGATCTTTTTCATGAACAGATTCTAATGATTCGGTACAATGAAAATAACTTGCAAATCACTTACTTTAATGTTTTCTGTTCTTGTATAAAAGTGTGAAAAGGATGAAGCCAAATTGTCTAATTAGCATTTGTGAAACAACTACTAATACTTATTTTATATTCCCCCAGGCCTTGATGAGTCCGACAGTGTCTTCATCTTCACAGACGATGAAGTCATAGAATACGATGGCGAGTTCGCAGCAGACACCCTTGTGGAGTTCATCTATGATGTTCGTGAGGATATAATCTCCCAGTTAATAGCCTGCCTTATTTTAGCAAAAAAAGTATCTGAATCCCAATTTTCTTTCTTTAAAGATGACCTACAGAATCTGACTCTGGGTTTTTCTTTTCTCTGTCACTTTCGACTCCATTGTCTCCTCCCTTTCTCCTCCAAAACCTTCCTTTCCCTTCATAGGTTCTTGAGGACCCAGTGGAAATTATTGACAATAGTAGGGAACTGAAAGGCTTTGAAAACATCGAAGAGGACATCAAATTGGTGGGCTACTTTAAGAGTCACAAGTCAGAACGTAAGAATCTGTACTGTGATGGCATGATAACCTGTTGCTTGCTTTTCAGCATAATTGCTCATAATTGCATATCAAGCAAGTGCAACAGAGACCAGGATCATATTGCTTGATTTAACTTTGAGCTGCAGACTTATTTGATTTTTAAGGTGATTTTCAAGTCAGCACACTAGAATCTACATTAATGATTAGGACAATAGGTCTACATACTTAGATATTTCATACAGGGGCTGATCTACTGAAACAACTTAATGGATGCCTGTAAAATTTCAGATTTTGAGGCTTATGCCGATGCTGCTGAAGAGTTCCATCCTCACATCAAGTTCTTTGCCACATTCAGTCCCAAGGTAAGTGATAAAGATTTGAAAGACGTTTGATCAGACACACTATATGAAGACTTGTTAGAATATAAGAAGTATCTGAAAATGCCCAACAAAATTTTCTGCTGGGCAGGTAGCACATAAAAGGGTTATCGGAGTTAAAATATTCCATAGAGATGAGAGAGTTAGAGTTGGGTGATTATTCTGTGCATTTGTCACCATGAGCAACTCCTTTTACATTATACATAGTCATTTCATTAATTGTTGATAAATATTGATTTGTCCAGCTTTTTTTTTTTTTTTGGCCTTTATGCCTTTATTTGACAGGGATAGCTGGAGAGAAACAGGAAGGGGGGGCAGAGAGAGAGAGATAATTGCTATTTCTGTAGAAAGGTTCTTCTAAAACCTAAACTGATGTTTATAAATTATGTTTGCCTTTAAATCTTTGTTTCTCTTAAACAAGGTGGTGCAGAAAGTAGACAATAATTTTCATATATCACAGCCAGCTCACTTTAGAATGGGGATCACATAAACTCCAATGCCATAGGATACAACACCAGAATGAAGAGATAAAGGAGAAGTATGAAGAAGAGTGTAAATGACTGACTTTAAAATGTGTGAAATGTAAAAACATCATGACCTTCATGATCAATACTTAATCCAGTTCATCCTCACTGTAGACTAATAATAAAATTGCAATTTTGGATTGCTACAGTTGATGTAGCCTAGTTCTTATCAGGATTTTAAAAATCAGTATATTGCAGTATGTTGTCATAATTTTACTCTAAAGGATTAAGAATCGAAGTTGATTTAGACTTAAATTCATTGACGTCCCCCATAAACACAAACTTTGTTAAAAAGTGTCTGTTAAAAGTTGTATTGCGCATTCTCTCAACCGACACACCTGCAAATGCATACAGCATCTTTATGACAGCTTTTATTCAAACCTGCTATACTGTATATCTTCTTCAGCTAAAATTTAAAAGAGTAAACTTTGTCCTCAAACAGGTATTTCTATAGGATAAACTAATAAAACATTTTGTGATTTTTTTTCCATTATAATATCTTCATGGTCCTTTATGCTCTATTGTTGATTTTAATGCATGGGTTGTATGTTACAGATTGCCAAGGCTCTGGAGTTGAAGCTTAATGAGGTGGACTTCTATGAACCCTTCATGGATGATCCAGTGGTCATCCCAGGAAAACCTTACACTGAGGATGAGCTGGTGGATTTCATTGAAGATAATGACAGGTAAGTCTCATTAATACTATACTACAGTGATCTCATAAGGTACTCTTCCATAATTAAAAAAAGAAATACATAAACTCTTACTCCTCTGTGCTTTTCAAGACCAACCCTGAGGAAGCTGCAACCACACAACATGTATGAGATCTGGGTAAGAACCTTTACGATTAAAACATCCACAACAAGTTAGACCAAATGTCTGTATTTGTACAAATAGCCCTCCATGAAGAGGCTTTGATCGAATTACAACTCCAGAACAATGAATCAGAATTTTTTGAAACTGTAAATTCACACCAGTGGGTTCAGTTTGTCTTTATTCTATCCACAGGAGGACGATGTTGATGGTGAACATATCATTGCTTTTGCAGAGGAGGCTGACCCAGGTAAAGGAACCCTTAATTAATTGTAAAAACAATGATAGAACCAACACTAGATTTTGATACATTTATAACCAGTCACCAACAGCCAATCTAGACAGCACTACATGGGGAAGCAAAGACATTAGAAGACGTTTTTGTGTGGTGATGACGTGATTTTGATCCAAATTTAATCAGACTGTCTGCAGGTAAATGAAGGAGTAATAAAAGGATCTGCGAATACCCATTACCACCCTGTTGATTCACTGTTCCCCACTCCTTAGACGGTTTTGAGTTCCTTGAGATCCTGAAGCAAGTTGCCGAGGATAACACAGATAACCCTGAACTCAGCATTGTCTGGATTGACCCTGACGACTTCCCCCTGGTAAGAAAATAACACAGTGCACTATACATAGTCAACTGGGTACTGAGAGTTAATGACTAAGCACTCTAAAACTTATTCACTTATGAAAGCAGAATTAATCAATATTAATTTTCCCTGCAGCTTCTGCCACACTGGGAGAAGACCTTTGGAATTGACCTGTCCTCCCCACAGATTGGTGTTGTTGATGCTGATGATGTGAGTAATATTTTTGATTCTTTATTCATAGATTGCTCGAGCATTTGTGTGTTTTGCTGCACTCTACTGTATATACACAAGGTCATTTCTGAGTAGTATTGGAGAAAGTAGTTTATCAATAGATTACCATTCCTTAACAGCTATAACGGTTTAATGAAGTTTCAGTCGGGCTTTTGGGCTCATCAATCAGGCTGCTATTCATTGCTTACAATAGTACAAAATGCTCCAACCAGGCTCCTATGCAGACGTAAAAAAGGACAAATATTACACCTGTATTAGCATATTTTCACTGGCTCCACGTCCTGTATCTGACAGCAAATGTACTCCTGCAACTTTTACCCAATCATGAGACCTTGTCTTGAGTCAGTGCAGCACCAGCAACCGCCAACATGTAACAGCTCGCAATGCTAGCCTTAAAAAAGAAATGATGTTGCTGAACCAACTGGGTTACATCCCTTCAGCTTTCCTATTGGCGAATGTAAACAGAAAACAAGCCCTTGAAGGTATGTAGTTCTCAGTGGAGCTTCTCAGTGGGCAGTTCCACTCAGGGAGTCCCCCGGAACAGTTTGGTCCAAAAACCTTTAAGGCTTTTCTCAGAGAATCAACAGTTGAGTCGGTTATATTTGTTCTTCCTCACTCTGCAGGCTGACAGCGTATGGTTGGACATGGATGATGGGGATGACTTGCCATCTGTAGATGAGCTGGAGGACTGGATTGAGGATGTCCTGTCAGGTGAAATCGATCCTGATGATGATGATGATGACGACGATGATGACGACGATGATGATGACGATGATGACGACGATGATGATGACGACGATGATGACGACGATGATGATGATGACGACGACGATGATGACGACGATGATGATGACGATGATGATGATGATGATTATTAAATCATTAAGTCATAATTCAAGTCTGACCAATGCAGTTTCAAAAGTCAACGTCAATAACAAATCATCCTCTTTTGTATCTAGTTCTTATTTTGAACTTGTCAGTTCCTTTTTGGTATCACATCTTTTCATCATCCTCTCTCCGCATCTCATCAGAACAATATTCCATTACTCGTTTATCCCTCTCCCCTAACTATTCACTAATCCTCCATGTTGACAAAGTACTTCCTAAGATCCCACAGTGCCTTTATTCCCACATGTAACACTGTCTTGTACAATAAACAAAAAGAAATTATTTCAAAACCTTACCATCTACTTCTATTGATTTTCAGATTATTATAGTTTTTATTTTCCAAAGTACTGGAGGGGTTGCAATGTTGTATGCAATATGTCTGAGTCCATCTGTGGAGTCTGTTGCAGTCTGAATGTGTTTTATTTGTTCACTTATTTTCTTGTTTGCCCCAGTATCGAAACAACTGAAGTCAGATCCAAGGGTGCTAGCAGGCTTTTCTGACGGTTCTTAAGAATCACCAGCCTACTCTGTGAAATCAATGTAACGCTGTACACTGAAAGTGCTGTACATCATATGGATGTTTTCTACGATGATGAAATATGACAACAGCCATATTCTATTTTTGTAACAAGAGAAATTTACCTTACTGTAAAGTCTTAAATAAATGACAGCTTGGACAGAAACCCAATTAATGTACAGTTTTTTAAAGGCGTGTGCATGATTGTGTGAATCCTATATGAGTGTGTGTGTGTGTGCACTGTATATATGTAGTACCCATGTCTAGGTGTTGTAATGGTTAAATGAGACACAGACTGGACTAACTTAAAGCTATACTGTAGCTATGTGTAGGATTTGAACATGTTTGCCTTTGAAACTCTCTGGTGGTAAGATAACAGTGCAGACAGCAGAGCATGCCAATACTCCGAATAGTTTGAAAAATCAGTAGATAGCAGCTTTAAAATAAAGCCTTAAGATTGCAAGGTGAATCAGAAATGGAATGAGGTGTGTTTTATGTGAAGTATTCTGGGTGCTGAAGTGACAACTGACTTGGCGTATGTAAACGTTTGTGCTGCAGGATTTCGGGTTGACTGCTCTGGGTGAATTTCAGAGAGCAGATTCAAATGGATCACAGTGTGGAGGTGAACTATCAACACCTGCCCACTAACCTCTGAATACTGCAGTCATACGTGTGTGTGTCATGTGTGCATCATTTGATCCATTTTCCTACAGACATCTCCAGGGTTACAGGGTTGGCCTTGATAAACCTAACAACATCATACATTTTGCAAAAGGAGTCAGATGTGAGACTTGAAGTTCCCACAGATGAAGGCACATTTCCCACCAAACTGTTTATAAAAATCCCAACTTCTGTGGGGTGGTGCTTGTGTCTCTCAAGAAACTCAACTTAGAAACAGGGTGAATGAAGGCTTCCCAAAAAGCTCTACAGCAAGACAAAGCCAAAAGAGGAATAGTAGTTCATTGCAAAAAGGTAAGAAATTTAATCCGCTCAAATTGTGCACAAATGCACTAAGAGGCAAAAAGAACACAAAGGTGGCTTGAATACAACATAATACGGTAGATGTGGACACATTTCCCCACCAAATTGTGTATACAAGTCTTTATGTGGCAAATGGTGAACACATCTGTCAAGTCTTTGTTTAGGTCTCTGTGTTTGGAACTTCTCACAACTTAGACCAGAGGTCTGGTTTTGGATGGTGTCCACACCAACAAGAAAACCTTAAGTCACAGTTGGAGAAGACACAGTTTGTAAGTTTGATTTGTATAAACCGCTTATTATCATCAAATTCAATTTCACATCTCAATTTTCTGCCAGCCTTAAGATGAAAAGCTGCACAGGCACAATGTGACTTTGAAAACCAAGATGGAAATAAAGACACTTTTTAAGGAATGTTTGTGTAGTCTCTACATGGTCGCCCACTGGTCTAATTTTACTTTCTCCAATACACAGCACCAGAAAACTATGTAAATCACAGGACTATATCATTAGACTAACAGTAATTACATAGTTTATATGCATTTTTTTTCTAGATGCAGAGCAACGTATTGTTTAGCTACTAAAACTTTAGTGCCCACCAAAATGGAAAAGAAATATGGTTTTATCTTTTTTTAAATAAAAAATATAGGACACTTAACACAAAGATATAATTCCAAGATTTGAAAAAAAAGAGAAATGCACAGAAATTAAGGACATTAAAGCTAAAAAAGGAGAGACCATAAAACATGCAGGTTTTCTTTTTTATAAAACAAGATAGATACTGTAGATTGTTGACTTTATTAATCTCGGGAGGAAAATGAAAAGGTCATAGCAGCCATTTACAATACAATACAATAAATGTATATGACAATATGTACATGAGCACTGTAAAAGCCCCCCTCAACAATATGTTTTTCTTTCTGTGCAGAATGTATGTACAGAGTTTTACACTTTAAGGATGTTCTGCTGAAAGTGGAAAGTTTCTCTGTGCTCACTGAAAATCAGATTTTTAAGGGGCGGGGCCTACGAGCATGATTTGTGACATCACAAATAGTTTGGAAGTCAATCCTGGTCCAGTATGCAACTTATACAAGTCAAGTCTCCAGTGCACATCCACTGACATTAAACTTTACAGTGAAGTAGGAGACGTCCAGCAGGAACATTTTAGAAATTAACAACATGCATATTCATAGATTTCGGATTTTTAATGAGATAGAAAGAGACATTTTAAGGATTTTAATATGGAAATTACACTTTTTTGTGGGGAAAACATATCAGACACACATTATTGTTCCAAGCAGATTATTTCTACACATGTATTAACACATGTCTTGAGGGGATGATGAATCACAAAGATGCCAAGTGAATGGATAAGTGGGGTTATTGGCTGATAAGGTGCAAGGAGCTGAAGATGAATAGCTTATTGATACAGTCAAACAAATCAAACAATACTAGTGGGCAAAAAGCAACGTGATGACAATAATATAGATAATAATAATTATTACTATTATTATTATTATTATAGAATATTAGAATAATACAAAATGAATAGAATAAGACCCCGCCCCTCTGATCTCGTGATGTAAGCGGCCGACCCCTCGCGCGCTTGCGCCAGTGTGAGACCCGCCTCTTCTTTCTGCAAGCCATGTGGCTGTCGTTGGTAAATAACCATCTCTAATTTTTCAACTTCCATTTTAATCTGATTTTTATCTTTGCAAAAACCTCTGGCTTGTGTCCCGCCGGAGCTGCCACAATGTCTGCGGGCGCCGTGGACCTCCGGGCGCAGGTGGAGTCGGTGCTGGGCGCGTTGGTCAAAGCGGCCACGGTGGAGTTAACCAAACTGTTCGAGAGCAGGTACGGAGCCTCGGCGCTGGACGTGGATGTGGGCCGCACGGAAAACAAAAGGGAAAACGCAACATTGGAGACACTGGGTAGTTTATCGACCGGGGACACAAAGCGCAGCATCGGGGTGCAGGTGGACGAGGACATTTATTCGCCTGCGGAGCTTTGTGGTATGTCTCTTTGGACCTTTAAATGCTGTGACTTCCTGTTTACGTCCACGGCTAGGCTGCAGGGACAGATGCGTGAGGAGGGTGTAAAGACTTTAACTGCATGATAAAGTCAGAAACGTTGTCGAGCAGGTCTCCCATGCACTCAGCACACGTTCCGCTCGATGCATGTGTGCATTTAGTTCACACTGTGTTCATGTGTAGTTGTTGCACTTAACTCCTGCAGGGTCTTCTCCCATTGGAAACCGAGCCAAGGAATGTGTGTGTTCCTCTGTGTTAACCCCTCCCCCCCCTCTTATCCACAGGTTCCCCTTCCCTCTCAGATGGTGATTGTTTGGGGGAGTGCAGGGAGGAGGGGGAGTTGGTCGAAGGGTGTCTCATTCCATCAGAAATCCCCCTGGCTGGAGATAATGGCCAGGTTGACCCCGAATGGTCGCCCCTGAAGGAACAGGTCAGTGAGAATTTACAGGGATGTAAACCTCAAGTGGAATGTGGAGGAATAGGCTGAGTGAAACTGAGTGAAACTGAGCGGTTAGTGATGATGAGAGCTACCCAGCCTGTTCTGACAGCAGTACGTCTCATGATCTTTGTTTCTTTATAGAATGTGTTGATCTTAGTTTGTTCTGATGACATATACTGTACCGCAGGTTGTGGCGGAGACTGTGGACATGGTGGAGCTGAGCGGGTTGGAGTCTCCAGCTGATAGTGAGCCTCAAACAGAAGTTGTTTGGCATGGTAAGGAAAAGCACCATGACAGTGACTTTATATTCAAGACTACAAAACACTGAGAAACAGTCTGGAATCATGAATATGATACAAATTATGCAAATCAGCCATAGAT